ACATACACACATACATATATGTACACAAACAAACATACTCACACATATACTTATGCGCATGCATACATACATGTACATACATACATGCATACATATAAATATGCATATATATATATATATATATATATATATATATATATATATATATACATATAAATATACATATATACATAGATATGTGTGTGAATATAAATAAATAAATAGATATATATAATATATATATATATATACATATATATTACATATGTTTATTATTTCAAGTATATATATATATACATATATATATATATATATATATATATATATATATATATTATATGTGTTGTGTGTGTGTGTGTGTGTGTGTGTGTGTGTTGTGTGTGTGTGTGTGTGTGTGTGTATGTTTATGTGTGTTTGTGTGTGTGTGCGGGTGTATATATGTGTATATTACACACGCATATATATATATATATATATATATATATATATATATATATATATATATACATATATATATGTATATATATAGTATATATATATATATGTATATATGTATGTATACATTATACAAATGTGTATATATATTCATGTGTGGGTGTGTTTCTTATTACCTGTAGCTTAAGATAATGCTTCATGGAAATAATCGATTATATCGTGAAGAGAACTTTTCCTGTTTTCTATACAGCAAGACACGACTTACCTTAGCATTAAAGATCCTGTAAACATTTTGACTTTGAGAAGAGTACTGTGCGAAATGAGATTTTTCCGGATGCGTGAGGTTGTATGGGGCCGTTGCTGGCGGGCGTAGGAGGTGTTGCCGGATGTACGTGATCACAGCCTGATCATCGGCCGGACGCTGTGTCTCCTGCTTCTTCGTGCGGATAACTGGCTCGCTTTCCTCTCTTCGGCCGGAATCTGCGTAAAATAGATTTAATTCGGATACTGAATACAAAGCGGTGGATCGGTTTTACTAAAGGGCGGTCATGATTTTGATTAATGGATGGAGAATAGGGAAGGAAATACCGAATCCATGTCACCAAATGGTCTTACCTCTATTCTTAATCTTCGGAGAATGTCCGCGTAGAAAGAACAGCGCAAAAACGACCGAAAATGCGAGTATGAGCGCTAGTGGTCTTCCCAGGTTCCATTTTGGTCCGGTAGACTTGGGCATTCTGTCGTTAAAGAGAATTAAATGCGTTGTTAGTCATTTCTTCTTATTATTATTAGTATTATATTATTACCGAAATGGCACTGGAAGGCGCTGAAGTTATGGGGCATACAGTAGGGTAGAAATCAGTGTAGGAATAGATTCGACTCTATAGTCTATTGAGTCGTGACTTCATCTGAGTCTTAAAAGATTGTTGTTTATATCTTACACGGGCTTTGTGACCCAGGATGCAAGAACAGCAGGAAACAATGCTCTTAAAAAGTATTGCCAGGATCTGAGGTCCATATGCATCTGTTAGAAATCAGTATGAGAATAGATTGTATATTTATATAGTTCTGATTATAGCTGTATATGCAATATTAACATTATCATTATTATTATTTTATGATCATCATCATGTCACACGCATATATATTCCTTATTCAGTATTAACGGTGGTGGACCCAGTATGTTTACAATCGGAGAGGGAAATTTGAAATACAAAAATGGCGCCGAAGTAACGAAAGTTCGGGAATGGTTAACTGCTCCAAAGGGTGGGGGTGGGGGTGGGGGGGGGTAACTCTAGAGGCATTTACCGAGTAAAACCAAACTTTGACACTATTATATTTATTAACGCTATAGATGTGACATTAAACCCTTGCAGCCCTCACTGGCCATGAGTATGACAAGTAGATACTATTAAGTGACACGAGAATGAAAAATAATCCATATTTCTGTATGATGTTTAGATACATACATACGTGTTAGTGGGTAAAAGCATAGCTGGAATAAATTTAAGGAAGGAAAGTGAACGTAGAGGGAAAAGACCGCGAGAAAAACGTCATTTACGCTCTAAAAATAGACGGCTAAAAATAGACACACTCTTTTGTTAAATCATTCGTTCTTTCCTGTTCAACTTTGTTAACCTAGTTACTTTTCTTTAACAGTCTAATTCTAATTTTGATAAACTTTATAGAAAAAGAATAACCTAGTTAACTTTTCTCTTTCAGTAACAGATGTAGATTTTGCTTTAGGAAACTTTGACAAAATGTATTACAGGAGAAAGAAATTTTTACAAAGCTACGTATATATACACCAATACGTCAACAATTGTTACCATAGTACTACAAAAATACAACAACAACTAAGAAACGTGAGCCTTCTACACAAAAAAACTACTCACCTATAGACCAAAAAAATGCAACAGTTGTCAACAGAAAATATATACAACGCCACAGACCTGGAATGCGAAGGCGTGGACACTCTGCAGACTGGTCCTCCCAAGAACAAGAAGGAAGGAGTGTATTTTCCTTTTATTTTCCTCTGCTTCCCGGAGGTTATAAGACATTCTTACTTTTCTTGTTGACTTGTAATATCCGGAGGGTTCCGTACAGTGTGCGTGGACAAAAATACATTCATACATATATACATATATAAGGACACATGTACGTATATATATATATATATATATATATATATATATATATATATATATATATATATATATATATATATGTATATATATATATATAATATATTTAAATATATATATATATATATATAATATATATATTATATATATATATATATATATATATTATTAATATACATATGTTTGTAGTGTGTGTTTATATAATAATATATATATATATATATATATATATATATATATATATATATATTAATATATATATATATATATATATATATAATATATATATACATATATTATATATATATATATTATATATATATAATATATATATAATATGTGTGTGTGTGCGTGTGTGTGTTGTGTGAAGAGAGAGAGAGAGAGAGAGTCTATCCATCTATCTATCTATCTATATATATATATATATATATATAATATATATATTAATATATGAAACAAAAACAAACACAGTAATATGTAGACGAAGATGAAAAGGGAAACAGCCACAATAAGAAACAAAATTAAATCGTAACGTTTCGAACCTTTCAAAAGTTCCTCATCAGACGAACAAATAATCGAACTGGCTACATAGAGAGAAGGTCAAAGAATCTGGGGAAAGATTTATTTACTAACGACAATGTAAGGTCATTCATACCTTACATTAGGAGACCTCAATCCCCTAAATGAATGAAACACGTATCTGATTCTCTGACGTAATTGCCTCTTCTTTTGGTCAATGTTTTTTACAGTTCAAGATAAGTCATTCCTTTTATTATTATTATTATTATTATTATTATTTTTTTTTTTTTTTTTCTTTTTTTTTTTTTTTTTTTAGTTGTGAACGTCACCGTTTATATAACAGCATTCGTTGCGCTAAAGTAGATGTCGATGCTGCGTTTCTGAAAGTTCGTAAGAGTCTTAGAATGCTCAGAGAATTGGAGAGGAGGGGGGTCGAGGAAGACCGGGATGGGGGGGGGAAAGGTAATCTAATTAATTCAAATACTCGTAACAGCCACTCTTGCTCAGTTTGTTGACGGATCTCGTAGCCATTGCAGCGCTTAAATCTTCACTCGAAAGCGAAAGTCATGAAATATCAAATAATTTCATAATCTTCGTTCGCGTGGCGTAAATTTTCGCTCACTGACGCCGTCGAAAGTCGATCGTCTCCTTCCCTATGAAACCAAACTTTTAGGTTTTTGGTTTATCGTTTCCAACCGAATCCAGAGCAAATCAATTTTTAGATTATATTAAAGGTCTTGATAGTTTCATTGCGAAACTAAATAAATTCTCGATTGAAGATTTCAACTACCTTAAAGGTGTCATGTTAAATCCAATTCTTGATTTATTTGACGATTTCATAGGCTTACCCCGACGATATTTTTTGGACACCAAATCACTTCAACGCAACTTGGACTTTTTAATTACCAAAACCAGCAAAGGTAATAACGTTGTTATCCTGGAAAACTTCGAATATATACGTGAAGTTCATTCCCTTTTGACCACAACTCATCGTATCAAAAACTGCTGTCTAAAAGTGCTGTTACACTAGCACTTTTTCCGTCAATTTTTGTACAATTTTCTGAAATTTTGTAAATTTTTGAGCGAATTGTCGATTTTCCAGCCAGACGATAATGATCGTTTCCGTTTGAAAACCTTAAGGTCAACTTTTTCAGCCAAGCATATTCAAAACAAGCGCTATATTCGAGAATGTTTGTATTTATGTTAAATACATTTAAAAAAAAAATGACGGAAAAAATGCTAGCGAGACAGCACCTTAACCCTTACCCTGTTGTTACTGTATGATTTCGAAAAAAAATTCAGGCATATTGCTAAATTATTTAGATTATTTGATCGCTTTTATATCCCTCTATCTAACATGTCAATTTCTATGCTGGGTGGTGCAGCGGTTAGTGTGTTGGTCTGGCAATCTTGCTGACCTGCGTTCAATTCCCGCGCGATTCCAGTGGATGGTAACCCCAGCCATTCCTTTCACACAGGAGTTTTATACGCAAAATAAAACAAACATCACATCACAGCAAAGAATATCCACTATAACAAATGAAATTAAAACTAAATCTTAAAAAAAAAAATCCTAAAACTCACAAACAAGGCGTTCCTTTAAAGCCTTATTATTTCATCTTGTAACAATTACTCGTCCTTTCTACTCTTGGCTTAGATAGTGATTTATCTCCTTTTATGGGTTCCTTCTCTGATAGCCATCTTAAGCAGTCACTGGATTTCATGGAGGAAGTTGGAAATTAGTTAGTGGTTAGTGTTAGATGTTAGTATATAAGAAATTAGTGATTCTTTATGTGGATTCCTTGTCTGTTGATGTCCCGCTTGGCGATGTGCTAGATTTTCTTTCTTTCTTTCTTAGTTTCTTTCTTTCTTTCTTAGTTTCTTTCTTTCTTTCTTTAAGGAGCTGGAAATGACGTAGTATTACATCGTTGCTCTTGATACTTCTTCAGGTATTTACACAGTTTCATAATAAAGATTATCATAAAAACGATGAATAACAATGATAATCATAATAAAGATGATCATAAAAAGTATGAATAATAATGATGATCATAATAAAGATTATATTATTATTATCATTATTATCATTATCATTATCATTATTATTATTATTATTATTATTAATTATTATTATTATTATTATTATTATTATTATTATTATTATTATTATCATTATTATTATTATTATTATTATTATTATTATTATTATTATTATATTATTATTATTATTACTTTACTACTACTATATATTATTATTATTATTATTATTATATTATCATCATCATTATATCATTATAATATATATATATATATATATATATATATATATATATATATATATATACATATCCAAACATATACACACACAACACATGCAAGGACGAGCCCCAAGCTGTACAGGGCGAAACCGGTAAAGCTTTCGAAAAATAGCGCAAGTATACGATATATAGGAGATAGGCGATATAATAGGGAATAGGGATAGGAGATATAGAAAGGGGATAGGAGATATAGCAAGAGGGATAGGAGATATAGGGGAGAGGGATAGGATATATATAGGGATAGGAGATATATATATATATATAGAAAGGGGAAGAGGGATAGGGGGAATAGGGATAGGAATATATAGGGGAATAGGGATAGGAGATATAGAAAGGGGAAGAGGATAGGAGATATATATATAGGGGAAAGGGATAGGAGATAGGGGAAGAGGGATAGAGATATATATAGGGGAAGAGGGATAGGAGATATATATAGGGGAAGAGGGATAGGATATATATAGGGAAAGAGGGATAGGAGATATATATATAGGGGAAGAGGGATAGGATATATATATATATATAGGGAAGAAGGATAGGCGATATATAAAGGGGAAGAGGATAGAGATATAGAAAGGGGAATAGGATAGGAGATATAGAAGGGGAAGAGGGATAGGAGATATAGAAAGGGGAAGAGGGATAGGAGATATATATAGGGGAAGAGGGATAGGAGATATATATAGGGGAAGAGGGATAGGAGATATAGAAAGGGGAAGAGGGATAGGGGGAAGAGGGATAGGAGATATATATATAGGGGAAGAGGGATAGGAGATATATATAGGCGATATGGGGAAGAGGGATAGGAGATATAGAAAGGGGAATAGGATAGGAGATATATATATAGGGGAAGAGGGATAGGGATAGGATATATATAGGGGGAATATATATAGGGGATAGGAGATTTATATAGGGGAATAGGGATAGGAGATATAGAAAGGGGAAGGGATAGGAGATATATATAGGGAAGCGGGAGAGGGATTAGAGAAGTGGAAGAGTTATTGAGGAAAGGGGAAGGGGGAGGGACGAGAGGGGAAGATAAGAGTAGATGAGGAGAGGAGGGAGGAAGAGAAGGATGGGATAGGGAGATAAGGAGAGGGATGATGGAGAAAGGAGGAGAGGGGAGGAGAGAGAGGGATGGAATGGGGAGCAGGAGGGAATATGAGCAAAAAAAAGAGGAGGGAGGGTTGAAGAAGATGGCAAAAGAGATGGGGGAAAGACGGATAAAGCAGGGAATGGGAAGGGACACAGGAGAGAAGATGAGAGATGAGAGGAGAACACTTTTATCTATAAATAGCCCTTTGCTCTTTCTAAGATGTCGTCACATTTTAATTACGGCTTTTTTTGGACTTCATGAGGAAAATTAAAAGAAAATGTCTATATGTTTAGTTTTCCTTCCTGTTAATTTGTGTTTTTGCTACAAATTAGATAAGCAGAGTTGATATATCATTTACTATGTCTATATATCACTTTGCAAATGTATACAGATACATATACCATATATGTATCTGTATATATGCATGTTTATGCTATATGTATGTACTGTGTGTGTGTGTGTGTGTGTGTGTGTGTGTGTGTGTGTGTGTGTGTGTGTGTGTGTGTGTGTGTGTGTGTGTGTGTGTGTGTGTGTGTGTGTGTGTGTGTGTGTGTGTGTGTGTGTGTGTGTGTGTGTGTGTGTGTGTGTGTGTGTGTGTGTGTGTGTGTGTGTGTGTGTGTGTGTGTGTGTGTGTGTGTGTTGTGTGTGTGTGTGTGTGTGTGTGTGTGTGGATGCGTGTGCGCGCGTGTGCCTTTTCGTGTAGCAAATTGATTAGATGTTAGTACATAAAGCGAGGGTGTATTATTTTAATGATATAAAAGCACGTTTGATGAGTCCGCGATTTTTATCAATAGTCGTATTACCTGTAATATCAGACCGCTTCAATTTTCGTCGGTTTTTCAAATGGCTCGTTTTCGGACTGCGTTAAAACATATGGATGGAGAAAGAGTGACAAGAAAAGAGGAGGGAGAGAAGAGGGAAGAAAGACAGGAAAATAGAGAAAAAGGGATGATCTGAAGAGTAAAAAAGAAAAAAATGCATACAATGTAAGTGTGTGTGTGTACGGACATGGGGG